CTCCTCCCAGTCTCTCCCCTGGCCCCCAGTTCCCATTGCTCCTTCCAAGTTCTTTTTCAGGTACCAATTGCAAGCAAAACGGACTCTTCTTTTGTGTCTCCAGTGTGATTTTTTAAATATAACTATTATTTTATTTTCCTTGCAATTGTTCTTTAACCTATTGCTTTCTACTATGTCCCATAAATTGAGTATTTACTTTTAGATGTATTATTAATCTTATTTTTTTTTTAGTTTCCAGAAATTTCCATCTCATTTTAAAAGTTGAGTCCAGTAAAACCTCTTTTTATTTAATTTCCTTTCTTCAAATTAGTCATTGTTTTTAAGCTAATCACTTCCAGACCTCTCTGGGCATTTGTTTCTATTTTCTATTTATCTTCATGCTTTTGCAACAACAAGATAGGCTCACCCATTTGGTGTGTGGGCAGTCAATAAAAATAAGAAGGAAGTAGGAGAGGGAAGAGACTGGAGTGGAACTCAGTGGTGGAGGATCTGTGGTTGATCATCAGAACACACACACACACACACACACACACACACACACAGAGAGAGAGAGAGAGAGAGAGAGAGAGAGAGAGAGAGAGAGAGAGAGAGACTAGTAAGAAGAGAACAGAGCAGTGGAGAGCCTCTTAAAGCTGTGTTTCAGAACAAGGCAAAAAAAAAAAATAGTATTTTGCTGGAGAGACACATGCACACCAATACTGGTGTCACATGTAGTGACAGTCATGTTCCTGCACAGATGCAGCTTACGATCATGCCTTGTCATACACGGCATGTTTAAAATCTTTAGGCAAGAATGTCTCCAGGCAGAAAGTTTAACATTAGAATTGGGTCACAGTGAACCAAGGGTACTCACTTAGCAGATGCTATTCATGAACTAAGCTAGTTTATCTATGTCAATTACGGTTTTCTTTGGAGGGTCTTTTCTGAGACAAACAAACAAAAAAACCAAAATGGGAAAAAAAAGCAAAGCAAAGAGCCAGTTAGAAAGTGTGTTAGCAGTCACCACAGGTGCTAGCTCTTCTGTCCGAGTACAGTGCTCTCCCTAAAGCTCCTGTGTAACCTTACCCACTGAGACTGAGCACTGACTAAGCTGGATGGTGACGTCATCATTTAGAGTGCAGATTTTTCATGGTGGACAAGCGAGCTGTGCTGATCGTACCCAGCCCCTAATCTTTCCAGTGATTCCACAATTATCTACCTCACTCAGTAACTTTGAGATTGGGATTTACACATAGGATAATACCCATTCCTAGTTCATGTCTTCTCTGAGTGCAGCACTTTTGAAGTTTTGCAGAGCTAACTCCTCTGAACTCTTGCATTGTCCCTAAGCTGGTGTCTTTGCTGCCTAGTGTCTCTGCTCTCTTTCTGGTTTTCGTGGTCCTCAGTACTAAGCTGAGAGTCAGCCCTTCCCTGAGGAAAGAAGCATGTTTGAGAACCTGTTTATATCTCATTTCTCAAGCTTTGTTCCTTAAACCCTTGGTGCCTAGATAACTTGCTGAAGATCCTCCTTTAGTTCCCTCCCTTAATCTAATGCTAAAAGTGGGAATCCCTCTCCACTAAAAAAATCCCTCTCCAGTAAAAAAAAAAATGTTGTTTTACTGTTTCAACATTTTTACTCATGTGACAGAGATGCTACTTATCTTATTCAAAACTTCCCTGACTTTAAAGCCTTCTCTTCAAACCACAAATCAGAATACTTGTATGATGTGGCCATTAGAGCTACAAATGCACTGCCTAAAACTGGCTCAAAAATCTAGCATTGCAAAGGAGGTCAGAAAACACCAGAAATTACCAAAGCATGTCTAACTAGGGCCTTTAAAGTAAAGAGAAATCAAGTTTAGTATTAACCTGGTGCCTCAAAATACCTTTTAAAAATACGGATATATCTAAACAGCTTAAAATACAGGTTTAAATAATAAATATTACTTAAAAAGAATTTATAACATAGATTTATAGATATTTTTTATTTACAAGGTAATGGTAATCTTAAATTTTGATTTAAGGCCCACTCTGTGAGATGGAACCTGTATCTGATACTTCTAGGATGACCAACAGCCTGAGACTAGATACCACATTTGACCTATGGCAAAACCAAGTACTCCTAGTCTAAAAAAATGTGATAAAATGGCTGCTAATGATATTCTGCTATAGTCATAGTGAGTTCCTTGTTTAGCCTCCACCAGAAGCTTCCTCCTGTAGCAGATGAGAACAAATACAGAGACCCACAGTCAGACATTACCCAGAATGTCAAAGTCCTTGGAATGCTCACTCCTAAACGGGATGTCTCCATCAAATCCCTCCCTCAGAGCTAGGGAATCCCACAGAAGAGGAGACGGAAAAAAATGTAAGAGTTACAGGGAATGGAGGTCATCAAGAAAACAAGGCCATTTAAATCACCATGAACAAAGCTCAAATGAACGCCCAAGCTACTGAGGCAGCAAGCACAGGGCCTACACAGATCTGTACCAGGGCCTCTGTGTATATATTATGGCTTCCAGTTTAGTGTTTTTTGTGGGATTCCTGAGTATTAAATTAAGTGGGTTTTTGATTCTTGTGCCTTCCCTTAGTCTTTTTTTTCTTCTGTTGGACTGACTTGTACGACTTTGATGTGATAGTTCTTGATTTATTGTATTTTATTTTCTTTTGTTATGCTTTAAAAATGAACAAACAAATGAACAAATGAATGAACAAATCAATGAATGAATGAATTAATGAATGAATGAAAACCTAGCCACTAGAGTAAAGGTTAATGACTGAGCTGTCACTTAAAATCATTCTTCTCCAATAGAGAGACAGTGGGTATATCAATCACTCCAGGACAAGCGTCATGTCCAGGAGTAGTTGACTAATACATTATTGTATGCCCAATTTCTTTCTTTCTTTCTTTCTTTCTTTCTTTCTTTCTTTCTTTCTTTCTTTCTCTCTCTCTCTCTTTCTTGTTGATTTTTTTGGTGTATATTTGTGCTTTTATTTGATTTCAGTTTGTTGTTTTTGCTTTATTTTGTTTTCTTGGTTTTGGGGAGTTTTGGACTTGATTTGGGTTTTTGTTTGTTTTTTGAGAAAGAACTTAAATTTGGGTGGGTAAAGAGTGGGAGAGGATCTGGAAGAACTTGTAGGAGGAAGAATATTATCAAAATATATTTGCATTAAAATTATTTTAGGTAATAAAATCTAATAAAAATTATATAATTTAAATAAAAAATAAAAATAATTCAAACTTAAGAATAGTAATCTTTAGTAATGACATAAAGCAATACATACATTAGCATAATTCAAAGAAGTTACTTTCCTTTAAGAACCATATAATATCTTTCTATGCATATAGATATTTTTTAAGGTTTTGTTTAATATAAAGAGTGACCCTGGGACTGAGGAGGCTCAGTGAGTAAAAGTGTTTATGATACAGGCCTGTGACATGATTTCAGCCCTGGTCACCTTAGTAGAAGAAAAGAACCAGCTCCCCAAAGTCGTCTGCTGACTTCCAGACAAGCACTGTGGCGTATTCATTCCCATTCTTCCCAGCTCTTTCCCCTGCTTCTTTCTCTGTCTCAAACACACGACAACAACAATAAATTGGTGGATGAAAATGACTTGGTGCACACATGCGCTCTCCATCCATTCATCTCTAGAATGCATTTAGATTTTCAATTGTCTTTCTATTAATTATAGTTTCTTATTTTGGTCACTGCTGTATATTAATAAAGATATCAAGACAAGAGCTAATCACTGAAGTTAGAAGAGAAGGAGCCCTGGTTTACCCTGTGTAGGAAATGCTACACACATACAAACGAGCACACACACACGCACACACTTGTGCGTGTACTTCACCCTGAATACAATATATACAGATTGTCTCCTGTTTCTATTTTGGACAATATCACCTTTATCTCTTATTCTCTACAAAGTTTGGTAAGAAACACTTAACTCTGAGTAATAATGAACCTTAATAAACATTTCTTTTTTTTTGAACTTTTGTATGTTTTATTCTTACCTGTATGTGGGGCCATAACGCACGTGACCTTATAAATAAGTCAGATAAATGTTTCCCATCATATCAAGTTATTTATTTATTTATTTGAAAAATTACCGCCTCCTCCCCGTTTCCCATTTCCCTCCCTCTCCTCCCACACATCTCCCCTCCCCCCACTCCCCTCCCCCTCTCCCC